TTTTTTTTCGTTTGAATACATCAGGCCACCATAAATTGCTTTTTTCGAATAAACACAAAACGACTATTTCCAATTGTATGCATCTTCTTGGTCGTTTACACTGATGTTAAGAAGAATCGGTGGAAATTTTCTGTTCGGACGAAGTGTTATGAAATTGTTTTCTGAAGTTTTAATTTTTGAAGTTTGTGTGTTACATTCGGAAGAAAGCATTACTGAAAGATGAAAAATTATATTTGAGAACGTTTCGAATTTGGATTATCTTTTGAACTTGTAATGATCACTTTGTTTTTGCCATAATCCTAAATCTAAAATGTTTTATTGTTTCCTCACTTCCATGAAGTTGTCATTTGCAGATGTGCCCTAGTTCATTTCATAACTTCATATTTCTTATTCTCTATCATGTTCTCCAATCAGCTAAACTAATTCCTTAATTCAGCGGCTCTCACGTTCGGGTGCTCCATTACCCCTTTTGATGATCTAGCAGGTCGTCATTACCTCAGCCCCCCCTTCATGCAGTCGATTATGATAGCATGAAAAGCTATTTTCTATGACGCGCTAATTTCACACTGATTTAGATGAATTCTCATTCTTTTCAGACGTGTTNTACTATTTACTGAATGCGTTGACGAGTGTTGACAGCCGAAATCAACAACACAACAATCGAATTGAATTGCTGAACAGTCAAACGATCAATTATAGAGTGTATTTAATAGAATGGGAATCTGACTTTAACTGTTGAGTGAAATGAATGAGAAATTAGCAAAACATAACGCTTTTGGTGATAAAAGCTATGAGAGTGATTGTAACAGCAAGGTAAAGAATGAAAATCCTGTTAAAACGAATGAAAACCATGTTAGGCCAGTACGAGCTAATAATACACAGGAAATGTGAAAATGGAGAGTGTTGCTATCAACTGACCGCATTTACATATACCAGTTGAAAAACCATCACAATGATGTTCTGTCTTATCATGACACCGAATACTGAGTTCCCGACCTCCTCCATTACCCCTTGACACCTCCAAATTACCCAAAATGGGTAACTTGACCCGCTATGAGAACCACTGCCTTAAAAGAAACAAGTCAAGAAATTTGTTCATTGATTCGCGTACACTCTATTTTTTTCGTTACTTGTCATCAAAATTCAATTTTTTGTTCACGTTTTATTTTCATCTAAGTAGCATCGTAACAGAGATTAATTAACAAGAAAGAGTTAATCAATTCCAACCAACAGAGCGGCAATCTCCAGCAGGAAACGTCCAATAACGATACCTCATCATTTCTTGCTTACCATTTGGTACTACCGTTATCATATGTAATAAAGCAGCTACTGCCGTAGCCATTTCAATGGCATTCCGCGAAGTTTTTATGCTCTAACCATGTCCAGCACGTCTTCAACAGCTGCCCGTAAAATGCCTGTTATACAGCGAGCTTCCATTATCATAGGCTCAATTGGAATACTCATCACTAAACGATTTGCTCAATTCAGCAGTCATATGCGTTTAGTAGCAGTCAGGATCGTCTGACACTTCTTGATGGTATTCATGGATAACTGTATACTGACATCTCCAGCAATGAATACAGAAACCTCGGTTTCTCGTGATCGTTGAAGTTAATTTGTTTGTGATGTGAATCAAGTTTGAACCGAATGAGCAGTTGTTATGCTGAATGCATTTTGTGACGCTGCTCGTTTTTGGATAGTCATTTTAGAGTTGTTCTCAGAGGTTTTGCCACAATACATGCGTAGATAATCATGGAAGAGAAAAGTTGCGGTTGATTCAAGCCTGACTGCTTGAATGCAGTATTGGGCAGGTTAGCAACAGCCACTTCTAGCTCATCACACTAAAATCTCTGGTCTTAGTTTCATGATCACCAACCGTGTTATCTTGATGATGATCACAGCAGCTACTGTTATCGTCGAAACCACCAAACAGTCGAAGAAGATGAACGAACAGCCATCCGATTTCATCTAATAAATTTGACTAACACCTGTCATCATTTGGAGAATGAGTGTGGTATTTCTTTTTGCTGTTTGAAAAGTGAACTGTTTATAAGCTTGAGTACAATCGCAATTTCTTCAAATTCACCTTCACTTCGCACCTGTTCGTGTGCTCCTCTATGTATCATAAGAACCGCATAAGCCACAGTCTCATCCTAAGTCGTCATTCATCATCGGTCGGTTTTCCGATGCACTTTCAACACGTTTCCAGATTCGTTTCGTTCTTTTGCTTCGTTTTCATTAGTGCACTTAGCGTAGTTGCTTAAAAGTGTTTTGATATTCTCAACAACGAGTCGACATTAATATGCAATGAACATACTAATGGCATATTCGAAACATTCGTGGTTAGATTCAACAGTGATATCGCATCAGCTGTGATACACGTTTGTATCTAGTTTTGTTTCATTCANCTAATTAATTAGATGATGAATGTGACTATAAAATGTTGAAAACGATCACTCATTATTGTCTATTGTCACTTAGTTGCTTTTGTTTACGAGTAGAGTGATCTGACTAATTTATTTATGATCAATGCGGTTAAGCATCTTGTTCAACATTCAGATTTAAATCTATCAAATGAAACATCCCGTTTCACTTAATAGTTTATGATATGAATTGCTTTCATTCACGTGTCAATTGACGCAAACTATTTTGACAGTACGTTAAACACATCGTATATTGCTTTGTGTATTGTTATCATTAGCTGTTATGAACTGTGATTGCTTCGTATTTTTTGTCAAAACAGCATTCATATCACATCGTATAATAAGCATCATCTTAGAATACATCAAAAATAATCAAGCACTAATATGGTGGGGCCAATTTGAGATCATTGAACACCTAAAATTCTCTGTCGATCGCTAACAATAATAATAACAATAATGATAATAATAATATCAAATGTGAAACATGCTTCTTTAAAGACGCATGAAAATTCATCGTTTACAAAACAAATGTATCACTTTATTGTTCATTCTAGCGAGGCCCCTACAGCACAGCGCATCGATCGCTATTCCGAACCACTGCACTTGTGTCTTCAGGAACCCGAAGAAGAATGAGCGGTGAAGCGACGTCAACTTTTTACTTATATCTTCATAGTTTGCCTAGAAGTGAATCCCTGTTAGGTGTTTTATAGTTATAAACTTGTGTCATGTAAACGAAACTTCACGTGATGACGACCGAAAGCGATTATTACGAAAACGATTGCAGTTGATTACAGCTGCAGATATGTGCATATGTTACAACATGCAAATTATGTCAGTCGAGCGAACGACGCATGCTGAAAATAATCAGGATCATGTGTATTAAAATCCCTCACCCTCACGATCAAAAAGCAGCAGCAGCAGCGTATCAGCCAGCATTAACACCAGTAC